TGACATGAGCGTCTTGTCATTCAGCTCCTCAACCGCTGCCCTGTTCCTGGCCTTCCCTCGCTCTGGAAAGTGGATGGGTAGAGAACGTTTAATCAGGGGGCGAGTAAACGTTTAATTAGGGGACGAGTAAACGTTTAATTAGGGGACGAGTAAACGTTTAATTAGGGGACGAGTAAACGTTTAATTAGGGGACAAGTAAACGTTTAATTAGGGGGAGAGTAAACGTATATATATATATATATATATATATATATATATATATATATATATATATATATATACATATATATATATATGAGTGTGTGAGTGTGTGTATGTGTGTGTGTGTGTGTGTGTGTGTGTGTGTGTGTGTGTGTGTGTGTGTGTGTGTGTGTGTGTGTGTGTGTGTGTGTGTGTGTGTGTGTGTGTGTGTGGACGAACTTTTAATAGGGATGGATAAGCGTTTGGTGTGGATGAATGAACGTTTGGATTGATGAATAATAAACGTTTAAAAAGATGGATAAACGTTTAATATGGATGAATATGGCTTTATTATGAATGAATAAACGTTTATTGTAATGAAAAAACGTTTGGACTGATAAATGAACGAATGAATGAATGGATAAAGAGAAGTTAGGTAGATGCAAATAAATATTTAAGTTGAAGAATATCTAATATGGGTGAATAAACGTTTGGAATGATGAATGTAAATAAATATGTAATTCTGTATATATAAACGTTTGATATGGGTGCGAATAAACGTTTGTACTTATGACTGGGTGTAAATATAAATAAACTTATGTAAAATGATATATGTATATGTAAATAATTAAACAGATACATATAATGGAATATATGACTGAATAAACGTTTAGAATAATGGATGAATAAACATATATGAATAAATACAAATCATGAGTATATAGCAATATATATATATATATATATATATATATATATATATATATATATATATATATACATATATGAATAAACAAATATGAATAACTGCATAAATACGTGGGTAAACTTATTATGAAAGAAGCAATTAAACACACGAGAAACGAACATATGAATATATAAAAAAATAAATGGCCAACTACTCGCATAATAAAACAAAAAATAGGACAAACACGTGTAAATGCATAACTACATACAATATAATTTTTTTTTTTTTTTTGGGGGGGGGGGGGGGTGACGTATAAATGGATAGAGTGATTGGAAAGGTTATAGTGATGATTTTTTTTTCTTTTTTTTTTTTTTTTTACTAAATGCATTAAGTGTGAAAATAGATGCAGTGTGTATTGTTGTGGGGAAAATAAGGACGGTGAAAGTACAGATTGCTTGTTAGTGTGATCGTAAGTGCTTGTTAGTGTCTCAATTAGTGTGACCGGAGTCTTAAACTATCAATGGATTATGATGTATATAAAAAAAGAAATACTGTTTTTTTAAGTGCGTCTAAGCAGTGCCAAAGAGGTGATTGGCGATAGATATAATTATGATAAAAATAGTGATGATATAGACAGCAAAAACAACAAAATCGCCTATGGATAATAAGGGTACTTGTTAGCATCACCATCACTATTATTACCTTCACCATCGTCACACTGTCATACTCGCCTAATTGTTAAGCCAATATATAAAAAAAAAAAATGAAATACACCAAAATCTTAAAATTTAAAAACCAAAACAAACAAACCGTTAATTACCGTTAGCTTATCAGGTTAGTCATGCAAAGGCCAGATCAGACTAGTCCACGTAACTCAAATTATCATAGCCTTCTATACAGCCGTCATGCAATTCGTTAGTCCCATCATGCACATTCTCCGGTGCCCCGTTTCGGTCATGCGTTTCTGTTTCGCTAATGGATTTGTCTTCGCTAATGAAATTGTCTTCGGTAATGGAGTTGGTTTTGCTAATGGATTTGTCTTCACTAATGGAGTTGGTTTTGCTAATGGATTTGTCTTCACTAATGGAGCTGGTTTTGCTAATGGATTTGTCTTCGCTAATGGTACTGTCTTCACTAATGGATTTTTTTTCGCTAATGGTACTGTCTTCATGCGGGTAGAGGTCAGGTACCCAGGGCGCCCACGAAGCGTGCTTGTCGTAGATTCCCCGGTTGACTTCCGCCAGGAGGTCGCTGGAGACGTCGGCGTTCTTGGGGCGGATGAGGACCTCTGCTCGGCCGACGTCGCTGAGGCTCGATTCCGTGGACGAGGGCGAGGCAGAGGAGGCGGTTTGGTCCCTCGTCTCGCCGCTGCTCGAGGGGGAGGTCGCGTCTGAGTTCGAGTCCGAGGAGGTCGTGGAGTATCTGTGTGTCTTGGCTGGAGGGACGGGTATTGCGGTCTTTCCCTCGGGCGCTGGGTCTGCGGTCTCTCCCTGGCTGAGCCTCCGTGGCTCTGGCTCCTGGGTGGCGGTCGGCGGGGCGCGAGTGGCGTCGGAGGGAAGGACTTTGTCTTCCTTGAACTCGTGATTACTATCGTCGCTCGCTTCCCTTACGTTTTCTTCCTTTTCCCGCTTC